CAGTTCGTTCATGAATAGGGGCTTCATTCTCGACCCAGCCTCTGATGTTTTGGACGGATGCTGAGGGAACTGCCGGTGAGGTAGAAGATCTTGCAAGAGCACTACTGTCCTGAGCCTGCTGTGCTTGCAGCAGCAGTCGGCTCTTATGCTCCAGAGAAAAACCCACCCACCGGCACTGGCTGCGGATGCGCAGCATACGCGGCCGCAAATTAGAACATATCAGGCTGCGGAGGTCATGTCAACATGGAAACCCCGCAAGAAACCAGAAGCCCACGAGCGGAGCCGACTCGTGGTGACCCGAGTGGTTGGTGCCAGCACCAAGCCTCTTCCAGCAGCTTGTCGGACTGAAGCACTGCCATTTGCAGAGCTCCACCGCGAAGTGCCCGGGCACCAAAAACCGAGCGATGACAGTTCCCGAAGTTTTAAGCTAAAACAAATTCAAAAACTCCTGATAAAGATCAAGCCAGAGGCCGGATGCACATCATGCTTTGCAAAGCAGGGCAGCCTCCAGGCCATCACTTCTTCCGACGCCGTCGCACGCCCCTCGAAGGAGCATCTGAAGGATTTTCTGCCGAAGGCACCAGGATGAGATTCAGCTGAAGATTCCCAGCCAGAGTGAGCGCCGCCACCTTTCGCAGGAGCCTGTTCAGTTGGGATGACGAGCGTCCTTTAGCCGCAGCGCCAAGCCAGACGGCAGAATCCAGTAATACCACCACTCGCCTGCCGTGGTGCTTGCGAGCGCGGAGCAGCCATCGCAAATACAGCACGAAGGCCTCGCCCTCTAAGACGTTGATGTGGCCGGAAAATTTCTTGCGCACACTGAAGATGTCTGAGAACTGGTCAAGACGGACGCCTAGGCGATGGCATGGCCCCAGGCGAGACTTCGTGGCTGTACCCCCGTCCATGATGAGGAACGCCCCCTGCTTCTCAGCCCAGCGAGCAACCTGTCGCACCAACGAAACTGGAGCCTGCAGCACTGAAGCACCGAAGCCAAACTCAGTGCTGGCGTCGGTTGCAGCAAGCAATGGAAGAAAAGGTCGTGTCAAATCACATCGCCAAAAAACTCCAAGGCAAAGGCTGCAAGCTAGTTCTGCAAGAACACCTGGTGGAATAGCTACGACTACATCGTCATCTTTGTTCCCGGTGAACTTGTAGACAGCCTCATAGATTGAAAGCTTCGGCCGCACGAGCAAATCATACCATTGAAGCGTTCCAAGCAGTTGGTGCACCTGTTTGGGAGAGGCACGACCCTGCGTGCTCAAGAACAGAAAAGTAATGAGCAGCGCGAGCAACCTGCCTGGAATGTCCAGGTAGCACCCACTCACCAAATCCACGCCCACACAGGTGGCATTCAGCTGGTCATTCACGTCCTTTTTGGCATTGCGGAGAGCACCTTGAGCTGTCATTTCATCATCGAAGGCGTTAGCTGCCTGACGAGTCACACCAGGTCCAGCATCACTGAAGAACATCACATCATCCGTTGCCACTGCTGCCACAGACCTGAAAGAGCTCGGTGTTTCACAGTCACAAGCAAGCAAAGAAGTCTCCTGGATTCCAGCCCTGCTGCAAATCATGAGCATGACCTCCTGGGCGATGTAAGAGGACCAAGCAAAGCCCATTGGCCACACATGATGCACAGGAAAAAGCTGTCCCTCTTGCCAATCGTGTCCAGCCTCCATGTAAAGCAGCTGCTCTTGGCACGTCATGCCGGCCTTGACCAGCTCATCAGTGGAGACCGCCGGCTTTGCCATGAACAGTCGCAAAGAAGCAGGGAGTTCCAGCTGGTCGAACCAGCAAGAGGCATCCCGCTTGCTGACACGAAGGGGGCGGTCCTTGGAGCACTCCAGAAAGGACAAAGCAGTTGGCGAAGCAAGGTGCCGTGGCTTAGGTGGCACCTGGGCAGCCTGCGACACGCGCCTCCCGTGCCACACTTCACGAAGACGGTTGCCACCTGGTTTCCCCACAGTAAAGGAGGTGCCACCACCAGAGCAGGACGTTGCCAACCCCAGCTTGCCACAGCGCAGCTGCAGAGTGACCAGTTTTGCGTACTCCTCACGTGCGCCTGCCGAAAACTTCTCAAAGCTCGCCAAGTCGCAAGGGGCATCTTGGAACATGGACTTTGCGCTTGTCACCACGTCTTGCACGTGCGGCGGCAAGTGTGGCAAAGGGTCGCAAGTTGCCGCAACTGAAAGGTTGTCCACCCTGCCCGCTTCCAGCTCTTGGAAGGTGCACGGCGCGGGCCTAGCTGTCCAAGGAACAAAGTCGGGCAGATGATGCTCCCACGAACCTGGAACTACCTCTTGCAATCTGCCAAGCGTGCTGAGCACTCGGTCGAGGATGAACTCGATGACACTCTGTTGAGCACCAGTGTGAGGTTGGCAGGCACGAGTGGTCTTCGACACCCCGAAGAGCCAGTTCAAGGCAGCTATGACGAAGTTGACGAACTCCCGAAGCACGGCCCAACGCAAAGTAGAGAAAGCAGGCGGCTTGTAACTAAGCGCAGCAATGGTTGCCAATGGAAAACAATCACGCTGCCGTCCAACGCTTTTCTGCGGCGCAAAAGTTGAGACAAAGGCACCAAAAGCACTCGTACCAGTTTCTGCGGCAATCCTGAGTCGGTCCAAGACCCACAGCTTGTCTTGCGGAAGGTCAGCATGTCGATCAGATCGCCAGGCCAACCAAGCCAAGCGCCGTTTCCGAGCTGACGCGCGGCTTGAGCTGGACCGACCAGGTTTCCGACACAATCGACACGAAACCGCAACTTCCTTCTGCTGTTCAAGATGCCGACGATGTGCCACTGCTCTCGCTCCGTCACGTTTTTGTTTAGAAGGGGAAGCTCGCTTTGCATAAGCAATCTGATGGTCCAGGCGGAAGCCTAAAACTCCTTTTCCAGCAGAAAACATCATGCAAGCAGATCGCACATTGGAAAACCCCCCTAGCGCCGGCCTGACATGGCCGCAAAGTTAGCAGCCTGATTTTGGTGACTGGAGCCACACATCAGCGGTTTACGTTTGTACAGTTGATGCTGAGTCTCATCTGCCTGCACTGATGCTGACGTCTGCAACACTTCCAGCAGAACAGTTCGTTCATGAA